TCATTGTGACTCTGTATAGGGTTTCAGAGGAGCAGCTAGTGAGTTTGAACTGCCTCCTAGAGCACCACACCAGGTAGCGATGTAAAATCCAGGAGTTCAAAATGCTTTTCAAACCAGTTCGAAAACTATGGCTAACTGGTTCTATGAATTAACTTGGTAGTTTCCTTCAGTTTTAGACCTTATCTAGCAGACAGAGGTAAACCTGAAGCGAGTCTTTAGCAGTATGCCAGAGTTTCCCGTCTTTGGCCCTCTCCAACTCAACATTCTTGTCAGCAAATATGCCAGAGTGCAAACTGTGGAGGGCCCAGGGTTGGGAGAACTGGTCTTAGCCAACTCCCAATCAAATGTGACAGCTTGACTGCATTAGTAGAAATATAGTTACCAGATCAAGGGATAAGAAGGTCTTACTGCCTGGTTTAGCATTGAGTCTATAAAAACTGTAGCCACTGTAAGAGAGACCATAAATAGAATAAAATAAACTCTAGAAAATAGTGACAACCACAATGCTGTCTTCCCATTGTGTTTGCATGTGGTATCATAGAAGTAGGAGTTTGAAAGCAAACCAAAACAAAGCAAAACTACATGTGTAAGGACCAAACTGATTTTGCCTGATTTTGCCTACCTAGAAACTGCTTGACTAAACTCTAGTCAGGCTCAGGAAAGCATTTTAAATAGACAAGGCCTCAGTTATTAGTTCCCTCCAGAGGCAAGGTCAATCTCCATTCTGTACATTAGCCTGAACATGTACTCTAGCTCCAAGAATATGATATATGTATAAATAGCCAGGCAGCTCAAGGCCAGAGGCCAGATGTTTTCCTTTACCCTAGCCTAAGAACAAAGACCACCAGTCCTGACCAATTAAACTGTAACATCTCATAGTTTGTCAATTGTTAACCAATCCAAAGATTGTAAAGCTGAGAAACCTGAGCTGTTTGAAAATTCTATAAAAACCCTGCAGACAATGAATTTGGGGCTCTTTCCCTATTCCGAAATGTCGGATAAGGTTAGAGACCTGGCTCGAGCTTGATTAAACAACCCTTATGTATTTGCATCGGTACACGGCTCCGGGGTGGTCTTTGGGGACCCTGAATTCTGGGCATAACGCATGACACCTAGAGATCAGTAGATTCAGGGGAAGGAAATACGGCCACTGTTCTCAACAGTAGTGAGGGTAGATTTGCATTGTTGTTCTGCAGAGGATGATAGGGATCAGTTGTTGCTTTGTGCTGTCAAGTGGTTATGACTCATAGGGACCCTGTATAGAGTTTCCATAGAGTGGCTGGTGAATTTGAACCTCTGACCTTGTTTGTAATACAAACTGTCCCTGTGGTCCAGTGCTTATCCTATAGTGCCATACCAAGACTCCTATAAAAATCAGTGTTGTTGTTGTTGTTAAGTGCCATCAAATTGATTCTGACCCATAGCGACCCTGTATAGAGTTTCCAAGGAGCAGCTGGTGAGCTTGAACCGCTGACCTTGCAGTTCAAACGGCTTTGCAGTTTGGCGCATTATTTTACTCAATATAATTTGGTCTTTGAATAAACATCTATTGAACACCAAACATAAGACAGGGCTTTGAAAAGTCGGTGGGAAAATTCCATTACCTTTGAATTCCATTTTCCACAAACTTTTTGAAGCTCCTTAGCATGCAGAGGAGCAGCTAAGTATGAAATGGGTTGCCTGCAAAACCAAGAAGCCCTGTAGTATAACTATTCAGCAAACCCTGTTGCGATAATATTCAAGCACAGGCAGAGTGATTGTCAGGAATATGAAAGAGAATCCCTGCCTGGTGTGGAAAAGTGAACAAGATGACTTCAAAGACTTCTCTAACTCTTAACAAGTCTGTGAGTCAGGGGACCTTTAAAAGTTTCAAGGATAATATATCAGCCGGAGGATTTCTCTTTGGCAGTTGTAAGTGCTGTGGAGTCAATTTTGACTTATAGAACTGCCCTATAGGTTTTTCAGGTAGAGATCATGAGGTCTTTCTCCCATAGGATTGCTGAATGAGTTCAAGCCACCAGCCTTTCAGTTCGCAGCCGAGCACTTAACTGCTGTGCCACCAGGTCTCCTTCTCTTGGGCAGAAGTGAATGCAATGAAAGTTCATTATCTCCTGTTCACAAATACAAAGGGAATCCCTGCAAGTACTATACTGTCACAATTTCTTTCTAAAATAAAAGTCAAACTACTGACAACTACAAAAGAAGTATTGAATTCCTAACAGATAAATCTCAAAAGATACATTTCCTTTTCAGATATCCAGATAAACGTTGCTGTTAGGTGCTGTCATTTGGTTCTGACTCAAAGCGACCCTATACACAATAGAAAGATACAGTGACCCGTCCTTCGCCATCCTCAGGATTGTTGCTATGTTTGAGCTCACTGTGCTGCCACTATGTCAGTCCATCTTGTTGGGGGTCTTCCTCTTTTTTGCTGACCTTCCACTTTACTAAGCTTGATGTCCTTCTCCAGGGACTGATCCCTCCTGACATGTCCAAAGAACTAGAGACAAAGCCTCCCCATGCTCACTTATAAGGAGCACTCCAGCTGTACTTCCAAGACAGATCTGTTTGTCCTTCTGGCAGCCCATGGCACTTTCAATAGTCTCCAGCACCGTAATTCAAATGCATCAATTCTTCTATGCTCTTCCTTATTTGCTTTAGCTTCCCTATGCTCAAGAGCAAATTTCAGAGTCTCTTCTGACTTCCATTTTGGTCTTGGCTATCTTTCCTGTTTTTTTTTTTTTTTAATGTTTTATTGTGAGTTATATGATAGTTTACACGAGAGAACCTCAGTTCCATACTCATTCCATCGTATAGCATTACACTGCCATGGTTCCAATCCCCTCCATGCATCGTCTTCGGACCAAAGGGCATATCCCAGAAACCCGTGCTCTACGCTTCATCCCTCCGTGTCATCATCTCTGTCTCCATCTCAGGCATCCCCGGTTCTCTGGGTGGGGTCCCGTTCTCGGCTCTTATCCGTTGGTAGTCCCAGAGACCTCCGCTCCTAGACTGGAGAAATAATTGCTGTCTTCCTTGCTACAAAACATCTACCCTTGCATTACCAACCCTCACAATCCGTCTTGATAACTATTATTCACTACAGTATCTCATGCAACCCATCTGTATTTCATTTCATCAGCTCCACCTAGACAAATTAGATAGTACTCACTGGTGATTCTGCCTTCCTCTATGCCCCCTAGCTCTAGGTTCCCTCTTGAAAGCTTGTAAGCCAGTTACTTCTTGCCTTTGTAGTCCCTCCTTCCCCATTTGGGTATCCAATGTCCAAGTTGCCCCTCTCTGTCTACTCTGTGTGTGGAGGGGGTGTTTCCTGTTTTTTTTTAAAATGACATTTGCTTTTCTTCATGTATGATTCTCTTGATGTCATCCCACAACTCTTCTGGTCTTCAGTCTAATGGATTAAATTTGTTTATTGACATGGTCTCTAAATTCAGGTGGGATATACTTGAGGTCATATTTTGGTTCTCACGGACTTGTTTTAATTTTCTTCAACATCAGCCTGAACTTGCATAACAGCAATTGATGGTCCCTTCCACAGTTGACTTCTGGCCTTCTTTTGGCTGATTATATTGTTTCTGCATAGTCTGTTCCCACAATTTGATTCCTGTATATTCCATCTGGTGAGATCCATGTGCTACTTTTTTTTTTTTTTTTTTTAAGTAAAAACATTGAAGTGATTAAGTTGCTGGTCTTGCAAAATTCTATCGTTTGAACTTCAGCATCATTTCTTTCACCAACACCATATTTTCCAACTATTTATCCTTTCCCTTTGTTTTCAATCTTCAGATCCCAATTAGCCATGATTATTTATGTATCTTGATTGTATGTTTGATCAATTTAAGATTGAAGAAATTGGAAGAATTTTTCAATTTCATCATCACTGGCTTTGGTGGCTAGATCATAATTTTGAATGATAGAGGTTTTAACTGGTCTTCCTTGTAGGTGTATGGATATTATCCTATCACAGACAGCACTGTACTTCAGGATAGGTCTTTTTGTTGATGAGTGTGATTCCATTCTTCTTCAATGTTCCCAGCATAGAAGCCATAGAACTCTTGCTCAATGCCAGTCCATTTCAGCTCATTGGTGTGGCACCGTGGATAAGTGACTGACCTCAAGGTCAGTTTGAACTGCAAGGTCAACAGTTCAAACTCACCAGTTGCTCCTTGGAAACCCTATACAGAGTTGCTCTATAGAGTCGGAATCATCTCTATGGTACATAATAACAACAAATGTCTAGGATGGCGTTCTGATGTGGTGCTTTAGGGTAAAGATTCGACTGCAAGGTCAGTTTGAACTGCAAGTTTGGTGTTTCAAATCTACCAGCAGCTCCTTGGAAACCCTATACGAGGTCACTAAGAGTCAGAACCAGCTCAATGACACTAAAACAGCAACAACATCTAGAATACAGATCTTTATGTGTCTATTTCATTTTTTATGACTTCCAGTTTTCCTAGATTCATACTTCATACAGTCCATGTTCTGATTATTAATGGATGATTGCACCTGTTTCTTCCCATTTTGAGTGGTGTCACATCAGAAAATGAAGGTCCTGAAAGCTTTGTTCCACAATGTCGGTGGTTTGAGCTCACCAGTGACTCCCAGGAAAAAGAAGAGACTTTCTGCTCCTGTAAAGATTTATAGCCTTGAAAACCCTACACAGGGTTGCTATGAGTTGGTACCGACTCTAAGGCATGTAACAACCACAACATACAGCTCACCATCCCTGTGCCCAAGAAACAATCATTGTTGTTGTTTTAAGTGCTGTTGAGTCGGTTCCAACCCATAGTGACCTTGTATAGGGTTTCCAAGGAGCAGCTGGTGAGCTTGAACCACCGACCTTGCAGTTCCAACTAACTTTGAAGTCCAGTGCATTAATCCACAGTGCCACATCAGGACTCCAAGAGAAAATTAAAATCAGAAAAAATATATATATATACATAATGAAGTAGCACTAAAGCTTCTGACCAAGTGACAAAATGAGCATCAAAGATGAATGTGCTGAGGAAATCCATAGAGCAGGATCAGTGGGGCTAGGAAGGTAAGGAAGCTCCGGTCTGCATGTGAGAAAGTCTTAAGGAGGAATTTAAATTTTTTAGTTTCCATTCTCAAAGCAGCATCCACTCTAGCTCTGGGTTCAGTTTATTCTTTTCAGTCCTTTATGCAACAAGGTACAAAACATAAAAAGTACTTTAATTCTTTTCTTATGTAGTTCACATTTGGGGGATTAAAAAGTGGTGTTTGTAAATCTTCGAGTCTGGGATGAGTGTTTTCATTGGAATCCAGATTGACTGCATAAAGAAAGAAAGGTCCGAAAGAAAGCCTTTGAGAACCACAGAATTAGTTAGGGAATAAGCCACAGTAGAATGATTTTTCCCAGTTTGATAGTATTTCCATAGAATTCAAATCAGAGGAACTTAGAATTAGTAGTACCTTTAGAGGCCATCTCCTCCAGTCTCGTTATTGTACAGACTTGCTTTAACTCAATTCCATAACGTAACAGAATTGTTTTTCCATCTTGCAGTGAGTTGAATATTTATAGGACTATGCTCTGAATAAGGAGCTCTGGTAGAGTAGTGGTTACGAATCGGGTTGTGAGCCTCAAGGTCAGCAGTTCAAAACTACCAGCTGTACTGCGGGAGAAAGATGAGGCCTTCTGCTCCCGTAAAGATTTACAGCCTTGGAAACCCTGTACAGGGTCACTATGAGTCAGAACCGACTCCACGGCACATAACAACAACAATGCTCTCAATGAAGAAGGTGCAGAAAGATATCCAGAAGAAACATTTCTACCAATTGTCTTCCTTTTCCTTTTCTACAGGCATAGAACTCATTTCATATGTATGTATATGTATAAAATATATATACATTTTAGGGAAGGAGTTGTTTGTGGCAAGAAAATATGGCTTATTTTGCAGTTAGGGGAAATGGGTCTTTTTGCTTAAAGTCCTGAACTGTAAACTCTCTCATTATCTCATCCTCTTTTCCCTGCCCCGTCTCTCCCTCTGCCCTGAGCCGTGTTGCCATCTGACTCCATCTGACTGCCAGAGGAGAAACAAGAAGAAGCAAAGGCTGCACCCTGTGTCTAGGCCTGTCCCTTCCCATCCTGTGTGTGTGGACCATTTAATTTACTCCTCTTGCCAACTGATTTTTTTATTATCTCTCCTGCAGAACTCAAATGGACACTAAAAAGCCCAGGAAATGCAGTTTAACATCCTTCCCAATTGTAAAAGCAAGAAAGAAACAAACTTTCATCTCTGTGAAGGTAAGGACCATTGAATTTCAGTTGGGGAAAAGGTTGTATCCTGACTTAGGAACGTAGGACCCAGTGATGATGCTTGTGCCTGGTGCTTGTCCACTCCTGGAGGGACAGGTGTAAGGAGAGCAGGCTGTTTGGCAGAGGCAAGTTTGGATGAAGGTGGAGAAGAAAGCAGTGGAAACACCTGAATATAGTTCTTGAGCTTCAAAACTGTGAGGCCTTCATCTGATGAGTAGCTTGTATTTGAGGAGCCCCTGGGCTAGTGTGGTAGCCACAGCACAAGTGGTTCAGTTCTACGCTGCTAACTCAAAAGTACCTAGTAAGAAAGATCTAACACTTTACTGAAAAATCAGTCTCGGAAACCCTATGGAGTGCAGTTCTCTTCTGACACACATGAAGTCAGAAGGGTTTTGCATGAAACTGGAAACAAAACAACCAAAAACTGGGTTAGTGTATCTTTCATGGTATCTTTCATTCTGCTCATAGTCTATATTTGGAACCATAACGGAAGTGTCTGATTAAAATTCAAGGATATTTTTATAAAAACTTTCCCCCCACCACCTTCTGCTTCCGTAAAGGTTTACAGCCTTGGAAATCCTGTACAGGGTCTCTATGAGTCGGAACCGACTCCACGGCACATAACAACAACAACCCCTCCAAGGTATAACGCATAAAAATGGACACTAACAAATCCACTGTTCCCCATCCCTACCCAAAAGAACCAATAGATCTGTTTTGGAAGAAGTGCAGCCAGAGCAGAGCGCTCCTTGGAGGCCAGGATAGCTAAGCTTCGTCTCTCATACTTTGGACATATTGTCCGGAGGAAACAGTCACTGGAGAAGGATGTCATGCTGGGTAAAGTGGAGGATCAGAGAAAAAGAGGAAGACTCCTAATGAGATGGATCGGCCAGGTGACATCATTGATGGAGTCAAGTGTGGTGGAGGTAGTGAGGTTGGCCCAGGATTGGACATTGTTTCCTTCTGCTGTGCATGGGGTCGCTATGAGTCGGTTCCGACTCGATGGCACCTGACAACAACAACAACAACCCTATCATCACCACTTACACCAAAAACAAATATATTTTATCATTCACTAGGTACATACTTTTATTAATACCTAAAACGTATTTCATTGTATAAAATAAAAACTTTCCATAAAATATTTGAAATAGTAAATCTACAGAAATAACAAAGTAATAATAAAGATAACATTGTGTTAGTTCAAATTTTTAAATTGCAAACCACATGGTCTTTTTTAAAAAACTTTTTATTGTGACTTGAGTGAAGGTTTACAGGCAGGGCAGATAAGTTTTATATTCAACAAATCACTTACTTTGCTTCATTACAATGATTGCAATCCCCCCACGCACCATCAGCTAACAGTGTTTACCTCTATTTCCTTTAACTCTTGCACTCCTCCTTGTGTCTCCTGCTACCTCCATCTTCCCTGTGCCAACCTCCCTCATGCTGTATAGTGCCTGTCCCGTCACCAGTGTCAACATGTGTCTACCCTCTAGCCCAGGAATAATTTTCCCTGACCCTACACTCTCCAAGTTACCATCATAGAATGTATCTTAACTTTTTACAACAGAAACCACATGGTCTTGATCATGATTTTATGTTAGCGTAATCATGAAGCGTTTTGCATCTTGCATTCTTGCCCCCTGCACCCCAGCTGCTTGAACTCACATTTATTGAATGCCTATGTGACCCTCAAGGAGCCCTGATAGCAAAGTGGTTAAGTCCTTGGCTACTAACCAAAAGGTTGCTGGTTCAAATGTACCCGAGAGATATGACAGTCTACTTCTGTACAGTCTACTTCTGGAAAGCAGTTCCACTCTGTTCTATAGGATTATGGCACTGCCAGACTGCTGACCACAAAGTCAGGGGTTCAAACCCACAAGGTGCTCCTTGGAAACCCTATACAGGGTCGATCAGAGTCAGATCCGATTTCATAGCAGTTAGCAACACAGGATTGCTATGAGTCAGAATTCATTGGATGGCAGTGGGTTTGGTGGGTAACATGACCCTCAGATGAATCTTAGAAGCAAGTCTTATGTACGTATTAGCCTCCTTTCACAGGCAGAGAAACTGAGCTCCAAGCAGGTTAATTAGTCCCAGGTCATAAACCAATGAGTGGAGGACAGAATTCAAACCAATGATATTAGTTTTCAAACCAATATTCTGACCTTTAAGACTCTGTTCAGTGCCTTTCTATTGAGTGATGACAATGCTGACAAGTGTTGTCCTGTAAATTTCCTTAATACATTTAAATTAATTTTAAGGAAAGACTACTCTGCAGCAGTTACAGAGACAGGAATTAGCAAAAATAAAAATGTAAAACTCTCTTCATGGTGTTTTACAGTAACAATAATTAGAAAATTCACAATATCATTATGAATGGCAATTTAAGCATGTATCTTGCTGTCTTTACGTTGCTGTAATTATTCTGATGGCCCCTAAACAAGTGTCCCTTCATTGTCTGCCCATTTTTCCCAGTGGAGTCCTCCATCCAATGGACCTGAGTAGGGTTAAATATGGAAACAGAAACAAATCAATAACTGTCCTTAGCTCTTGGAATCCTGGGTTTCAATGGATTGTTGTTGTTAGGTGCCATCAAGTTGGTACCAATTCATAGCAACCCTATGCACAACAGAGTAGAACAGATAGAATTCAAACCAATATTCTAAGTTTTCAAACTAATGTTCTTAGTTTTCACTGCCTGATCCTGGGCCAACCTCACAATCATTGTTACTCCTGAGCACATAGCTGCTGCCACTCATTTGGGGTCTTCTTTTTCTCCAACTCTTCACTTTACTAAACATGCGTCCTTCTCCAGTGACTAGTCCCTCCTGATGGATAGTTATATTTATTAGAGGATCAGAAGATGAGTGATAACTCCATCACCTAAAAGAAAACACTGAAGCCAGAGAGCAATGGATCACAAAATATCAACAGCATTAAAAAATACTTTACATATTGAATTTTGGTAAACAGTTCAACAATAAGGGAATTTTTAAAATGTGCTTCTGTCTTAGTGTTCTAGTGCTACTATAACAGAAGTGAAGTCTTACTATAGTGCTGTAAGATAAGCTCTGGACTGCTAACTGAAAGGTTGGTGGTTCAAACCCACCAGCTGCTCCTTGGAAACCCTATACTTAATTGCTGTGAGTCAGAACTGACTCAATGGTACATAACAACAACATAACAGAGAAATCACAGCTCCAGGGGGAGGCTCTCACACTCTCTTTCCACAGTAGGGCACAATCCGTGTCTCTTCTATTCCTAGGTTCTATTGGCGATCATGTGGTTCCATCTATTCCTAGCTTCCTTGGCGATCATGTCGTCTGTGTCTTCCTCTCCATTTGTGCTTGCTTGCTTAATCTGTTCTTTTATTTCTCAAAAGAGATTGATTTAAGACACACCATACACTATGTTGTTGTTAGGTGCCATTGAGTAGGTTCCAACTCATAGTGACCCAATGTACAACTGAACAAAATACTGCCCGGTCTTGAGCCATCCTCACAATTGTTATGTTTGAGCCCATTGTTGCTGCCACTGTGACAATCCATCTCATTAGAGCTCTTCCTCCTTTTTGCTTTGCCAAGCATGATGTCTCTTCCTGACAACATATCCGAAGTACGAGAGACCAAGTCTTACCACCCTCACATCTGAGGAACATTGTGGCTGTACTTCTTCCAAGAAAGATTTGTTTGTTCTTCTGGCTGTCTATTGTGCTTTCAATATTCTTCACCAACACCATAAGTTAAATGCATCGATTATTGTCTTCTTTCTTCATTGTTCAACTCTCACTTGCATATGTTGTTGTTGTCAAGTGCTGTTGAGTCAATTTTGACTCATAATGACCCCATATAGGGTTTCTGAGGAGTAACTGCTGAATTTGAACCATTGACCTTCTGGTTCAAACTGACCTTACAGTCCAGTGCTTATCCTATAGCATCACACATGCATATGAGGCGAATGAAAATACCATGGCTTGGGTCAGGCGCACCTTAGTCCTCAAACTGATATCTTTGCTCTTCAACACGTTAAAGAGGTCTTGTGCATCAGATTTGCTCATTGCAATATATTGTTTGGTTTCTTGACTGCTGCTTCCGTGAATGTTGATTGTGGATCCAAGCAAAATGAATTCTTTGACAATTTCAATCTTTTCTCCATTTATCTTGATTTGTCCAGTGGTGAGAATTTTTGTTTTCTTTACATTGAAGTGCAACCCATACTGATGGCTGTGGTTTTTGATCATCATCAGTGTGTATTTTATGTCCTCGTCACTTTTAAGCAAACAAGGTGGTATCACTGGTTCATCGCAGATTATTAATGAGTCTTCCTCCAATGCCAATGCCATGTTCTTCTTCATATAATCTAGCTTCTTGGATTATTTGTTCAGCACACAAATTGAATTATTGTTGTTGTTAACTGCTATCGAGTCAGTTCCGACTCGTAGTGACCCTGTATTGGGTTTCTGAGGAGCTGCTAGTGAGTTTGAACTGCCAACCTTGTGGTTCAAACCCATCTGGTAGTCCAGTGCTTTATCCCACAGCACCACAATAAGAATGATAAAAGGATACAACTCTGATGCACACCTGTCCTGATTTTAAACCATGAAGTAATCCCTCGTTCTATTCTAATGACTGCCTCGTGGTCTGTATGTAGGTTCAACACAAACACAATTAAGTGCTCTGGAATTCCCTTTCTTTGAAAAGTTATCTATAATTTGTTATGATCTACACAGTCAAATTGCTTTGCACAGTCAAAAACACAAGTAAGCATCTTTCTGGTATTCTCTGCTTTCAGCTAAGATCTATCTGACATTTATACTGATATCCTTTATTTCACATCCTCTTCTGAATGGGACTTGAATTTCTGGAAGCTCCCCATTGAGGTACTGCAGCAACATTTTTTTTTTTTAGTTATTTTAAACAAAATTTTACTTGGATGTGATATTAATGATATTGTTAGAGAATTTCTACATCCTGTTGGATCAC